GTAGATTTGCCTTTGATTCAATATTGAGAATTAGGCTATGGGACAAATTGGTCAATTCCCTGATAGATAATTCCCTATTATTCCTGATATACTAAAAAATCCTATGTTAAAAATTAATTTTATTCCACAAGGGCATTTAACTAAAACAGGTTGCTACAATAAGGGGAGTGAGCCAGGGTTGCATGCAGGCACCATTATTATTCAGTGTTTATATAAATTCTTTGGTTCACCAATAGAACAGCCCTGATATTTTCCCCAAAGTTAGCTCAAAGGCATGTGTACCAGTGATGTCATTCTTCTGTATCAAACCTCAATTGGGCTAAAATGCATTTTGAGACCCCTTACCATTTATTGCAAGGAGGGAGAATTAGTAATTATGAAAAAACAAAAGTCTTAGTATTTACTAAACATCCCAGAATCTACCAGCCATTAAGTGTTCACAAAAATGGGCAAACAAAGACTTTTAGATATAATAGAGTTGCTTTTCAGGCCTTTGGTGAGAGAAATGCTCACTCAAACTATGTAGTCTGTAATGCCCCAAAATCAAAACTTTCTACTATGTTTAAGAAGTTCCTTATCCATTCCTGCTGCTTTAAATTTATTTTTTACCAAAATGTGCTGTCAGTTCCTGTAGGGCCCCATAGTAACTATTCAGAATTAGACTTGAAAGCTTTGACAATAGCAGATAATTTCAGTACTAAATGGAGGAGATATCTCCTTGAGAAATGATACTTCTATGGATACTCTAGAGAAGCTCTCCTTTTCGTAGGACACAAACAAGTTAAAAAGATACATGTACACACAGTGTGTGTTAGACACAGAAAAGCAACTAGAACAATCTCAACTATAGTACTCAAAAATATTTTCTGAAGTAGACCTGTGGGTTATTTAAATTCTATCACAGTTTCCAAGTTAAGAAAGGCTCTAATTTAACACTCTGCCATCCAATATACTAGAAAGCATATACTGTATAAAAATACCCTATACTAATCAGATGTGTCCTTGTGGCACATGTGGTATGGAATCTACTGCTTGGATTTTATTATATTGCAGCTACTATCAGGAATTCAGGCTTATTTCATTTACCTTCATATATCAAAATACCACAGGTATTTTTACATGCAGATCCTCCTTTCAGACCAATAAGACTGTACGTTTTGGATATTGCTAAATTGTGCCCTACAACTATTAAAACTAGACAGAGCTGGCCTCATCCGAGTATTTCCAGACTTTTGCTATGTAATTTTGGTTACTGATAAAGTCACTGTTTTAAACAACATTGTAATTTTACTCTCAGCTTGTAGGTTATTCTAAGCAAAATTTCTAGGTCCCTTTTGTTTAACAATAGTATATTATTATATCTATATATTATATAGTTATATATACACTATATTTGTACCTTCAAATCACTGTTGATTCCTAGTGAGTGCCTGGACAAGTCGCTTCAGTTTTCATGATAAGGTTTTTCAGAAGTGGTTCACCATTGCCTGCTTCCTAGGATTGGGAGAAAGTGACTGGCCCAAGGTCTTTCAGGTGGCTTTGTGCCTCAGGCAGGACTAGAACTCACAGCCTCCCACTTTCTAAATTAATGCCTTATCCACCTCACCAAACTCGCTGTATATTATACCCACAAATAAAAAGTAATCAAAATTGATGCTCTCTGTATGACGTGACTCCTAGATGGTTTCTGTTTTGCTTTGCTTGTTTTTATGCTGAAATAAAGGATTGATTGACCTAAGATTTAACTCCTTACTCAGAAGATTCTAAGGGAGCAGCTAAAAATCTCAAGAGTATATAACAAAATTCTAGAGAGGGAGACCCTATTTTCCATTGAACCTATCTTTCAAAGTTTAACTCCCATCGTTTCTTTTTGCAATATCAGAATGATTCTACTAGGACTCTGATAGAGGAATGAATTGCAGTGGAAGAATAATATTATTTCTGTTTATCTTTATTCCAGAATACTTAAGGCTACATAGGCATTGCTGCATAATTTGATTTTTATTCTCATGGCAGCATGTTCCAAATATTTCCAATAAACTTTGTGAAGCTGGGATTCTCCAACTGTTATTTGGATATTCTAACCACTACACTATGCTCATTCTCAATACGTTCAAAGTTTAGGATAAAAAGGGCTGAAATCTTATGAGAAAATGGAATAGGATAAAATAGGAGGATACACTTGCAATCTTTTTATTTTTATTTTATTATTAGTCTTGGGCAGTCAGGTTTCAACCCTAAATTAGATTTGACAAGAGATATGTGGAACCATTTTTTTTAAAAAAAGTTATAAAATCCTGCTTGTGGAAGATGGGATCCAAAATAGACCTAGGAGTTTTCCCCTCTGTTCTTCCTCAAAATCTTTCTCCTTATTGAAATTGAAAAGGGCTTTTTTTTGTTTTGTCTTCTTACGAAAAATAACAGTTGCAGCAAGAGGGAAAAATAATTTTCAGCAGGATGAGTTGAACTATATTAGGTTCTGATATTAATTCAGGCTTGCCATCTGGATTCATTGGAACAGTGGGGATGTTTGGCCATAATGCATGGTGCCACATTTTGTGAAAGCCAAACACAGCATATCAGCACAAACATCTCCTACCAACTGTCAAGCACAATGGTGGAGGGGTGATGATTTGGGCTTGGTTTGCAGCTACAGGACCTGGGCACCTTGCAGTCATTGAGTTGACCATGAACTCCTATTCTAGAGTATAATGTGAGGCCATCTGTCTGACAGCTAAAGCTTGGCTGACATTGGGTCATGCAACAAGACAACGATCCCAAGCATACCAGCAAATCTACAACAGAGTGGCTGAAAAAGAAAAGCATCCAAATTTTGCAGTGGCCCAGGCAAAGTCAGGACCTCAACCTGATTGAAATGCTGTAGCAGGACCTCAAGAGAGCTGTGCATAAACAAATGCCCAATCCTCAATGAATTGAAGCAATGTTTTGAAGAACAGTGGGCCAAAATTCCTCCACAACAATGTGAGAGACTGATAAAGTCATACAGAAAACAATTACTTCAGGTTATTGCTGCTAAAGGTGGTTCTACAAGCTATTGAATCACAAGATGAACTTAGTTTTTCACACAAGGCTTCTCCATTTTGGCTTTCTTTTTGTAAAATAAATTATGATATTGTATAATATGTGTTGTTGTTCATCTGAGGTGGTATTTACCTACTTTTAAGAACTGCTAAGAACCAGATTATTTTTACTATGTCCTGATATGTAAAATCATAGAACTAAAAGAGGATGTATTTTCATTTTCACACACACACACACACACACACTTATAACATATATATATATAGAAGAATACTTTATTTCACTTAGGAGTCATTAGAAAGTTGAGTTGGCTTTTCTTTTATGAACTTGTATAAATGCAAATGGTTTCTTTCTCCATTTCTTTGAATTTTGAAGGAACTTTCCACAGAAATGTGCACACCTAAAATATATTTTATTAGCATTGACAAAGAAGAAACATTCTGATTATCACCCTCACTCTCTTTAGACCTACTGTCTTATTTTCATTTGCCTCTTGAATTCACATCAAAATGTAGCACTAGAAAGATTAAGTGTGTGGAACTGTCAAGTGTTATTGGCAGTTTTTACCACCAGGGACCTTTCTCTGCTATAGCAGAAACTAACCAAACATATGTTTAAAGACTAGTATAGCATATTTAAATTACTGTTTGCTCTAGATAATTTAAGTAATCAAAAGTAGAGAAAAGTGTCTTAGTGAGGGACATGTAACTAATGTTATTGGAGTGAGAAGAACTTAAATCAGTAGCTTAGATTAATTCCTTCTTTGGAGTTGTGAAGATGTACAATATCTCCTAAGAGCTATATGCTTTTCATCAGCTGAAATTGAACTCATTGACTGAAATCTATTAGAAATTTGAATCATTCTCTGAAATTCCCTAGGAGTTGAATTCTTTTAAAACTTTTTTTTTTAAAAATAGCAGAGTTAAGGGGAGCCAACTGAAACTCTCTCATGTATTTCTAGTGATTTGCTAATAAAGACAAAATCTGTATTGTATAGGTCTTTCTGTATTATCTGGGAATCTATGTTTACGTTGAACAAGTTGGCACTCATTTTTAATCTAAGAATGCAATTTTTATAGGGCAATGTTTAAAGTTTACTAACAGTTTTCTTCAGTGCTGAATATCTAAATATATGGTATTTTAATCTCTAGATTTTCAGTGCAGTTTCAGAATTCTTTCCTCTATAGTTGTTTTATTTAACAATAAGAGAGATAATATTTTGATTTCCATTTATTTTCATTTCCAGTAGCAAAGATAGGAAGCAAATGAGGTGCAGGCACACAGTAGATTTCCTGAAGCTCTGATCTTATTACAAAACAAAAGTTGCTGGATTAATGATGGAATTGTCCCTCCTTTCTGATCCTTTAAATCTGCTTGGGTGAACAGCTGTTATACACAAGCTTATGCCAGTGCTTACAAAGCATTTTGGGTTGATACAGTTGTGACTTATATGGACTCCAGTCTGAATGAACTCTCGAGACATATTCTTGCAAAAGATAAACAGACAATTTCATCTACACAAATGCACACATTTCTCCAGTATGGTTGAATGATGGCACTTTTATTTTCTCTATTAAAGTCTGCTTCATTTTGCTACTTTTCTAAATAGTACTATTCTAATGAAACAAAGAAAAGAAATAGGGAGCAAGAAATAAAGCCACTTACAAATAATAATAAAAAAACCAAAAAAGTATTATTATTGGCTGGTCTGAGTTGAAAATATACTCTTTGAATCAATTTAAAGCATGTGTCAAAAATACAAGTAAAAATGACTCTTTTCTCTAAGACGTACAAATGTTTTCCTAAGGTATTTGATAAATAACCTAATAACAATTTGTTTCTTATGCATGTACCAAAATAAAAGTGGACGTTGAGTTTTTTGTATTTTTTTTTAGACTTAAGATACAGATTTAAGGAGTCTTAACTGAACGGAAGCTTTTGTTGTTGTACCTTTACAGAAACTACACAGATAGAAGATCCAAGAAAACAGTGGCGACAAGAACAAGAAAAAATGTTAAAAGATTATCTTACTGTAGCTCAAGATGCACTTAGCACTAAGAAAGAACTTTTCCATGTGAAAGAGCAGAGGCTGGCTCTTGCCTTGGGTGAATATGTACGGCTGAATGATGTTTACAAGGAAAAATCAAGCTCTTATACAAGTCGTATGTATCCAAGACATATGTATGATATGTCTCTCTCTTTTCATTTTTTTAACTTGCATTTCTCAATTCAAAAGATCTGGATGATCTTCAAGAAACAGTTGTAGCCAGCCCTAATTAAACTGAGATTTATCCCAGTCCTGGGAGCTGCAGCAACTGATTCTGGAATGGTAAATCAGAGGCTTCTCATTTACTAACCAGTTCAGTTTTACAAAGAATTTCAACATTTCTTTGTCTGTATCAAACACATATAGGTAGTCCTCCAATTACAACCACAATTGGGCCCATAATATTAGTTGTTGAGCAAAATTGTCATTAAGCGAGATGCTACATGACTATTTTACTCAATGACTGTATTCCCTGCTTTCCTAGTTGCAGTTGTCCCAAACGTGCTTTTTGGGAGGCAACTGGACCTTGTTTTTCTTTGAAACCGTTTTGCTGCACTCTCACTAGCTGTAGCTTCCAAATACTCTTCAGGGGTAGCCCCGTACAGAGCGCATTGCAGTAGTCCAACTGTGAGATAATTAGGGTCTAAATGACTAAGTGCAGGGAATCCTGATCCAGGAGAGACCGCAGCTAGGAGACGCTTGAGTTTTCTCCTCTGGATGGGCAAAATGTCGTTTGCTAGCATTTTTCTCTGCATGGAGGGGAAATCTCTTGGCTCACTGGGGGAATGGATCTCAAATCCAACACTTTCTCTGCTTCCCTATTTACTTTTGGGGAAAACCAGCAGAGAAGATTACAAATAGTGATCACATGATGGCAAGGGCACTTGTCAACCAGTTGTAAATACAAGCAAATTGCCAAGCACCCAAAATGTGGTCATGTGATGGAGTGTGTGCCTAGCACAATGTTTTACAATAGCCAAAAGTGCTTTATGGATAAAGTACCTGTTCCAAGACTGTCATGAGTGAGAATGTCATTAAATCACTGGTTGTAAGTTGAGGATTACCTATACAAACAATTATTTCACCATATAGGCGAATGGTTGGAAGCATCCAGATCTGAGATCAGATAGTGGGGCAGAAGTAATGCTGCTAAAAAAAAAATTGGTCTTGACCAGCTCTGGAAAAGAGACCTCCAGAAATCAATCCTGAGATTGCAAACTAATGTAATGTCAAAGTTTACAATTTTATAAATGTTTGATATCCAGTGCAGGCCATATTCAGGGTAATAGTGAATTAACAGGAGACATTATACAGGTAGTTCTCAACTTGCAAACAAAGTCGGGACTGGAGTTTCTTTCACAATGTGATGCAGTTGTAAAGCAAGATGTCACAAAACCATAATGATTTACGATGGCAATCTCAGCAATCCTTGTTGCAAGGCAGAGTGCCAGAGAGAGGGAGGTTGGGTATTGTGGTATCCCTGCAATTGTAAGTATGGGCAGGCTGCCAAGTGCCTGAATTTTGATCATGTGTCTACAAGGACAGTACAACAGCTGTAACTTGGGCACAGTTCCTAAGTCCATTTTTTCAGCACTTTTGTAACTTTGAACAGTCACTAATCGTATGGTTATACGTCGAGGATTATGTATATACAAATGTTTGCTAAGGAAGTCTCCCAGAAGCCTTATATTATAAATGCTATCACTAGGCTCTATTGGTTTTATATATTGCATTAGTGGACATTGCAGGGCATGTACAGACACCCTCAGCCAAATCTGATTCTCTGGTATTACACTCTGGCTGTGGTCCTTAAATGAGGCCCTTCAATGAGAATCTTCCATATTCTTACCAGTCAGAATGCATATTGAAAGTGCTCAAGCAAAACATCTTTAAGGGCAAATCTGTCTTAGCTACTCTGAGTCTACTTAAAAGGAGAAAAGTGCCATACAATCAAGTTTGCTACAAGCATGTGGGAAAATGCCAGGTGGCAGTGACTGGCAAAGCTGTAGATTTAGGTACTTCATCTAGTTTACCCAGAAAGTCTTCAGCATTTTTGCACATTTTTCCAGATGAATTCCAGTTTCCCATATGACAAGTGGGAACCCAGCACTTCTGACTTTATCCTGCATGTTATCACACTTAATATGAGAAGACCTACTGTAGAGTGGGACAGTAACTTATCTTTATCTCCTTGAAAAAAATATATGGGATCAGCAAGATGCATTTTGGCTCTTTGTGCCTAAATTCACTCAAGTTCATGAATATAATAAAGATTTAGAATCACATGTAAATTAGTCCTGATTTTTAGGGGCACCATAATTCTAAACAAATGTCCATTCCTATGCTATAAATATCTCTTGTACTTGCAGAAGTAATTATTTGCTCTGGTATGCTGAATTATTCTGTTAATGCCTTCCCATAAACAAGCAAGTCTTTTGAAAATGAAGTTGGGTGAAACAGCATCAATAATCTAGAAGAAAAGTAATTTGTAAGGAAAAGGGGCATAAGCAACAAATAGTATATGACTGAGTCTTAAAGCAGCATTACTAGCTAAATTTCCATTTATGCAGCTTCTGTTTAAGTTTCCGAACTCTCTGGCAGAATGAGAATGTATTGTTTTAGTTAATGCTAAATTTGGACAGAAACACCTAAGTTCAAGGCTACCTTCAGCTGTAGTTCTCACTGAATTAATCTGAGCCTATCTGTTTCTCTCAGTTCAAGGGTTGCTTTATGGGGATAAAAGTAGGTGGAAATTTTTGCATACACGACTATAGCTCTTAGAGAAAATAGGTAAATAAATGTAATAAACAAATAATGCTAGCCAAATGATAAAAGTGAAAATACTTTGAATAATTGCTACTTACATTTTGTAGTTTTCACTGTAATATAGTAACCAATCTTTTATTTTGCATTTTAAAACTATGTTGAACTGTTGTTTTGAATATTGTAGGGAACTGAAACCTAAAGTGATCTCCCAAATGGTTCATTGTCTTTTTTCCCTTATTCCCCTAATAAGTTTTCTCAAGCTCCTCTTCCAGCACAAAGTATGATCCTGATATTCTGAAAGCAGAAATCTCCACTACAAGATTAAGGGTAAGATGCTTTGAAATCTCCCAATAACTCAACTAAATTGTTTTCTAATAGTCTACATATTCAAGCCTATATTTTTGTGGACATTTGTAGTACTAATAATTTTAAAAGTAACATTTGCTTTAGTACTTGTTCATGATCAACATATGGAGATAAGTATTAAACCAAAGATATCTGCTTAAGGATTTATCTTTTGAAAATGAATATTGTGGTTTCTTTGTATAGATTCTGTTTCCCTGCAAACTCCCTTCCTCTCCCCACACACTGATGTCCATCAGGAGTCCTCCCCTGTTCTCGTTTGTGCTCCTTTTCTCTTAAGATATCTCCCTATGGCTGTAACAATGATAAATCCTCTTTTGAATAAGAATAGCTTCCTTAGACACACAGGCATTGACAAGTTAACTTAGCAAGTGAATATGAATTTCATGTTAAATGATGTTATCCAAACAAAGATGCATCTTTTAATCCAGCATATCTCTCATATCAGATGCTTGTCATGAACATTAGGACAATAAAATTCCTTTGTGTTCAGCAAATGATAATAATGGTTTATTTACATGAGATAGTGGTGCTGACTTTATTGAAACGTAAGTTATGCCAGCGCTCACAGCCGAACAGTGCTATACATATATGAAGAATTATTTTCAGACTAATTAATTATTTATGAATAGTTAATTTTCACAATATTAGTAAGCATTAGCATATCCACAGTGGTAATAGTCATTTTTTTTCTATAGAAATGAATTCTGAACACTAATAGGCAAATCTAGAGACAGCGTTCATGTCCAATCTATGTACTGTATGTCTCCTGGAGAAAACACTGACCTCTAAAAGCATTTCTTTTGACCTGCTAATTGTGTTTATTGGAACTTAATAAGAGCATTAGTTATATAGGTAGCTATCTGCTGTGGAATTGCTGACTGCTAACACACTTGGTAAATGAATTTGAATGTGATTGGAAATAGCAATCCCAAAAAGTTCTGAACTACTGATTGACCGAATATTTAAATCTTTGAGATAACTAGTGTTTTTAAGATACAATATGTTTAGTAGAATGTCTAAACCATAAGTATACACCTACAGTATATGGGGCAGGATTTAAAATAGTTCCCTCACAATTTTAGTACATACATCCAATCATCTGATACATAGTTGCTGTTCTTCTTGCTGACCTCTTATTGTTTTTCTCCATGTTGAAACACAAAGTAATTGTTTTTTTTCTGTTTGAAGGATTTCCTCCTTTTTCCATTTAGAATCAGCAGTTGTTGTCAGTCTTTTCTTGTATAAGAAAGGTTCTGCAGAGAGAAGTATAAGGTTTAGTTAGGAAGGGTTTATTTATTCATTTGTATGATTTATAAAGCTAACCATCTCACAGTAGTGACTCTGGGCAGTGTACAAAGATTAAAGCCACCATTACAGAATACAACCCTTGATTCCCTTTTTAAAACAACAACCCTCAAAACAACAATAACAAAAAACCTGATATCACCAGGAGAGCTCACCTAACCTCTCTGCCCAAACACCTGGGGAAACAGGTCTTCAGAGAATTACGAAAGAGTAATATAATTGGGGCCACCCATATCTTGGAAGGGAGGATGCTGTTCCACAGGGTGAATATAGCCACAGGAAAGGAGTTAAAGCCAATCTTGGCAACTTTAAGAGTTGTGAACTTCAAATCCCAGAATTCTAGGATATTATGAATCAGATGACGTTGAATCAAGTCAGCAGGAACTTGAAAGAAAAACATTTTTTCCACATAATCATATGATAAAGTCAATTTCATGTGGTCTTACATGTATAGTGGTAGTATTTAAAACACAGGAACAAGGACAAGTCAAGATACCAGGTATTATTTATTGTTCATGTTTAAAGGTGTTAATTATTCTAAACTATTTTACACTATCTTAAAAGCAGTGTCTTAAACTTTTATTTTTGCATACAAGGTTAAAAAACTGAAGAGGGAACTCTTGCAGATGAAGCAAGAATTATTATATAAGGAGCAAGGCTATGAAACATTGCAACAGTGAGTATAAGAAAACAATTGAAATTGACTTAAATAATTCATCCCATTGGTTACAATTAAATCAAATAGAATAATTATTTCTCTTGAAATAGGTGAGAAAAAAATCTACAACTAATGCCTATGGAAAATCTAACCATGTCCTATTATTAAGGAAGAAAAGCAGAAAGCTGTTTAAAAGGTGTAAAAAGTGAGAGAATTGAATAGGTCCCTGTCTGTCACTTGTGTGATGGAGAAGAGCAAACAAGCAGCCAAAAAAGACAAGAGAAGCAGTATTGCAGTCTGGTTATTTGGCGCCATGCGCCCTTTAAGTATAATTAGACCTTTACTGAATATTTAACTGTCATGGAAAAGGACAAGCTTCAGTGAGAAGGTTGAAACAGAGGAAAGATGGGGCTGAAATAAATCAGAAATTGGAGAAATCCCATGTTTCTTTTTGCTCCACTGATCTTTGCATTCCCTAAGTGCCTGCTCACTCTACTTGTATTTGGCAAAGTTTAGACAAGCATAATACGAATATCTATTTGAAGACTGCCCTGCCCAAAAGGAAAAGTCAATCATCTAAATTGGCTGGGTGGCAAATAAATAGCAGCTATATTAACTCCCGGGCCATATTACAGAATACCCTGTAATATTCCATATTACAGAATACAGAATTCTTTTACTTAAAAGAAAGTTGAGCAGATTTCTTACAAGTGTTCCTTTTTTATTTTTTTTGTAAACGGTTAAGAATTTAAATCTTCCTGTAATCTCCCATTATTATTCCATATGAGTTTAAAATATGAAATTGAATAGAATTAAAGTTCAAACAATACACAACCGCAGACTTTTAAAATTTACCGTAACTGAATGTTGGAGATAATAAAAATGCTGGTACTTTTTTGTTCCCAGTTTACTTTTTCTTTTAAAACATAAGTATACCTAAAGCTTTAAAATTTCTGCTTCTATTAAAATTAAAGTTAATCCAACACACTGGTTGTGTTACATTGCTGAAATTTGAAAACCAACTTGCTTGCAAGTAATTTCATTAGGAAACCAAAGCAAGTTTGGAAAACTTTCAGCAGCATACAACAAATAAACAATGAACATTTGTTATGAAAATTATGGCTGTCAGTTTATGACTAGCACTAATTCTATTTATTGAAAGCAGGGAGTCAGAATACATTTTATATTGGAAAGACCTTTTATGCATTTCTGCCATATCTGTTATAAAAAGTAGTTACAACTTAAAATGTAATACTTTGAAGCAATAGGACTGCATCATGCTGGAAAAGCTCTGATTCATATCACTTGTTTTTATGTGCAGTTAATCTAGGTTGGATGATAATGCAGCAAAAATCAAACATGATTAGGAAGTAAATACTCTGCTGTCAATACTATATTTAAATAGAATCCAGGTGTATATCATGCTTAACATAATGTTAAATTCTGGTTTAATGTTACAAGCTTTGGACTAGTGTGTTTTCCCTTCTTTTCTCTGGTTTGGGATAGGTAAATTAATCTCCACTATATGTGTCATTTAACTGATAACATTTTAATCTCCTGTTTATACAACAAATAGTCATCTCTATTTCTTACATTACAGTGCAGAAGCTTTTTTCTTTAATGAAATTTAGCACATGTCAAATTATGTGGATAATTTTGCTCTAAGCTAATTCTTAATTATTTTTTTAATGGAAGTCCATGATAAAGTCAAGAAAAAAAATATTTTCAGTGCAAAAATCCTCTATAAGATTATATATAAGCCCTTTCAAGTTTTAAACTGTTTGTGAATCTTTTCCTTGGAAAATATAACTTGGTAAGTAAGATTATCTTGGAAAAAAGATAACCATGGCACTCCTTCTTGTAGAAGAAGGACAAGCAGAGCTTGAGGGAGAAGTGAAAAGAGGGATAATCCTAGAATCACTATGAACTAAGTCCAACCCCATTTGACTGCTGCTGATTTGCTGAGGGCCCATAGCTAAACAGCCATACTAGTCATTAGTGGGTCTTTCCACAAAAATGGCTCATTTCATCCCTTGTAAGGGGTTACTTACTGTCAAGGAAACAGCTCAGCTCTTTTTAAATCACATCTATCAATATAGAAGCATGGTCTCTAGAGTAATCTCTACTGGGGAAGTCAACTTGCTTCCACATTTTGGAGGGCACTATTCCAACTTTTGAATATTCAGGTTATCTTGTCTTCAGCCCACCACTCTGGAATGAATGGCAAGACAGAAAAAACAAACAAACAAACAAAAAAACAAAAACACTCTTGCAGCAATAAGATGTTACTGCACCTAAACTGGTCCTCATTACTGCCGTTACCAGAATTTTCATATAATAACTGTCTCTACATATCAATTGCTATGACCCCCTTCCAAGCCTTGAATGGCACACATCCTAGCATTCTACCAGAGAACCCAAGGTAGGAAGAGCCCATCCCAGAGTTGTGGATTTTTGCAAGAGCAGCTGGCTGCACAAACACTGTTGAAACAGTGAAGCTGGAACAGCTAGAACATGTGAAGCAGTTGTGCAAGAAGCCTGCAGACTTCCATTGACAGGAAGGGCCCTGAGAGCTGAAGGAGCCAAGTCTGTCTCTCTACCAAGTTTTTGGTCCGAACAAGACTGTCTAAGAAACTGGATGCTAAATTTCTGGCAGAGTCCTTTTGCCATCACTCTCCCCTGGCTCCAAAACGGCAGAGGGGGACCAGGTAAGGTGCTCAAGCCTCCTCTGCCCATCACCTATGGCATGGCAGTCCAGCTCAGGAGGGGAGTGAAAGGGAAGGCAGACAGCCAGGTCATTGAACAGGCAGGGGGAGGTCGCCAAATGAGGAGTGGCCTGGCTGCAGGAGCCCTGAAGTAAGTGGGTGCGGGGTGCGTAGGGCAGCTCCACCCCCCACCTGCCTTACCTCACCTCGTGGCAGCGGCATGACATGCGCTCTCTTGCCCCATTGTGACCATGAGCAACCAGACAATGGGATAGAGTGAGCGGGCTTTTAACTAGGGCTTATTTTGGGGGTAGGGCTTATATAAGGCGCACGCTAAAAATCATGCTAGGGCTTCTTTTCTGGGTGGGTCTTATTTTCCGGAAAACACGGTAGTAGAGATAGAATTTGGGAATATGGTATACCTAGATTAAAGTACTCTCTGATATTCCTATATTTTGATTGAAAATAGCTGCTATTTATGGAAGATAATATTATTAGAATTGCCTGTTTCTCTTTCCCTCAATAGGATATCCTTCTAAATGCCAGGAACACTTTTTTTTAGAGTTACTATCAATGTACTATTTTACAGAATTGACCAAAAAATGTCTGGAGGCCAGAATGGATATGAGTTAAGTGAAGCCAAAGCTATTATGAATGAATTGAAGTCAATCCAAAAAGCTATAAGCTCTGGTGAAAAAGAAAAGCAAGATTTAATGAAGGTATTTTGATATCATTTTTATTCAGCATTTGGTGGTCCATGAGGCCCCTAACAGCTATCATAACTAAGAGAGGTAGTTTCTAAGGTCTTATTAAATTTGTAGTAAAGAAAAAAAAAGAGATTAAGTTACAGAACTGGATTTTGGAAACTGGATATATGTATTTTAGTATCTCCCATAAATTTGGTAGGGTAGGGATATTTTGACTGGGTTGCTGACTTCCTTGGCAGGCAATAGGGAGATTGCTTCATTGATTACAAATGAATGAGCAGATGTTTTGGCCTTATAAAGTGTTTGCTGATTGCCATTTTCATTTCCAGGCTTTGGGAACCATTGCAAGATAGTATTGATGTAGCTAACTAAAGTTTCTCACGATGCCTTTTTAAATACATGCACTGAGTTGTCTTTCAAAATAGATATGGTAAATGTTGATGAACAATTGTAGGATATTCCTTTCTATATTATTCTGTCTCTCTCTTGCCTATGCATTTCTTGCTGTGTGTAGTGGTTTTTTTAAATAACAAAATCTGCAATGATTTGTTGTTGTTGTTCCCCAGAGCCTTGTAAAGTTGAGAGAAAGATTCCTTCTTGGTCAAAACGTTGCCCAATCAGAATCAGACTTGAGGTGCAGCCTGGCACACTCCCAACAGTCTCTCTCCAAGCAAACTTTGGATGCAGGGTCTCAGACAGACATTTCTGGTGATGTATGTTTTTCCTATTATTTAAAGGTGGGGATGAAAAAAATAGATGTGGAACACTCTTGAAGGGATCTGAATCAAATGTTAGTCAATATAGCAAGAACATTCTAAAGAATGTTTCTCATGTTTCACTCTCAAAAGGCACTCCTTTGTGCTGCAGATATTCTACTAGGTGAATTTCATAATTCTAAATAGTTTTTTAAATGATAGAAATGAGATCTCCTACAATTTGCTTATAGATTTTTGTTTGCCAAGAAATCTCTGGGAATGGAGGAGGCAATAAAAGCTACACATCTGATAATCTATACTCAGTAATTCCTTTGTTAACTTACTGATACTATACTGTATTTTTGTATCTACTATTTTTTCTTCTTTTGCTTGCTTGTTTGATATTTTTCTCTCCTTTTCTTTTTTTAAAAAGATGAATCAATAAAAATCTGATCATCTAAATCATACAATCCAGTGGCTTATAGAGGTTAATTCATAATTACTTTCATCATTTCTGAGTGATGCAAGTTAGTATAGTGACTATACTAACTATAGTTAAAGCAGGATGATGCTGTACTCTGATTTAGTCATAATTAAATACCGTAAAGTGAAAATGTAACTATTAACATCCTATGTTAGAATCCTAGCTAGTCTCAATAATGGCTTAAAAATATCAAGCAGAACTTTTGTCATTATCATTAATAAGCAGAACTGGAATAGAATTATCTGGTTTGCAATTTTTTTTCTTTGTGTTTTCTCAGATAGATATTTTATTCTAGAATATTAATTATGATCTAAGTTGGTTTTAATTTGGCAAAGTAGCTACAACAGTCATATTAAAAACTTGCATTTTTTTTTCTTATTCGAAAGAAACTAAACCTTTACTATACTATGCAATACCTCATTATCTTCTATTATTTATTTTAAGTCAAGAATTTCATTGGACATCTGCCCTTCTCTCCCTGCTTTCCCCTCCCCTCCCCTTCTTGGCTTCCTGATATCCTGAATTTAGATTAACAGTTTGGGATTCAGTCTACCCACATCTCCCCCTCCCCCCAAGTTATGTTAGAGCTTATTGATACCACATTCCAAAAACATTTTAATTTAATCCAAAGTCATTTTTGAAGTGATTTAATACATTATGTCAAATAGGTCTTATTCAAAATGACATGTATTCATTGAATATTGATGTATATAAATATAAGTGAACCTTATTTATTTTTGCTCCAAAAAGCAATGATCAAACCCCAAAGTTCAATTTAAAAACTGGTGACTAGAGAACTTCTTCACATTTTGTTGCAGTTCATCAAGCTCTCCAATGAAATCAACATTTTAGTCACTTTAAAATATTTCTCACTGACTGGAATGATTGCCATAGGTTTATATTCACAAATGTTTTCCAAATGTTGGTCTATTTCTTAAGGTGGAATCATAAAAGTCTCTGGGAATGATTGTACTAGGATTTTCTTAGAAGCAGCCCATACTTAAATGTGGTTTTTAACCATTTCAGTCTCATTGAAGTCCTCCTTTGAGCTTCATCGATCTCTTAAGTTCTGAGTTCAAAGTGCTAAGCAACAACTTGGGATTAAATGGAGGTTCAAAGTTGGCCTTATTAGAACTGTACCTTCTATTAAAATATATCCTAGGGTTATTTAGTAGTAATAAAAGTATATTCCTTTAGAAATTATTTGAATTAGCCTTTGAGTTGACAAAACAGCAATTAGTATTTTGAAATGTGTTTCTATTTATTTAGCTTATTTAGGAAATCAAATTACTTCATGTATCCTTAATGATATATGCTGTGAGATGGTGATTCTTTCAACAGGTCAGTGTCAAGAACATGGCCAATTTAGCTGAAAAGGTCAGATTGAGTCTTCAGTATGAAGAAGCCAAAAGAAGGTAAAGAAAGAGTTTATTTCTTCGTTAGAATATATATTTTGTATCCCAGTCTATAAAGCCATGTAACCAATATAATGCTTGCAGTGACATCTACTGGATGCATCTATTGAAAACATAGTTTAATATTCCTATCAGCATCATTTATTTGTGTATGTTGGATCATTTATTTTTGCATATTAGACTATTAGTGAATACTCGGAGCTATTTTGTTTCCACTAACAAAAGAATTGTGAGCAAAAGAATATGAACCAAATTAAACAGCAAATTCAGGGAAACAGGTTATTACTAGCAGTTTCCTCAATTGCAAAATAAATACTTTACATCAAAACTGCCTGTATGTTTAGGTGATAATAGGAAAATTAGGATATATAAACGAGTGGCTTTAAGAACATAATCTTAATTGTAATAACATAAAAAGTAACACAGCAATCTCAAATTGAGCACTAAAACCAAGGTGCAAAATACATACAATACCACTGTTACTCAGAGGCAATGTCGGATCTGAATAAAGTGAGCTTTTCAGCCTAAAAAGGAAATCAGTTGTTTCTCAGATGACATGGGAAATCCCTACTGATACCTACAGAAATTGCAAATGATGAAGAAATTGCTACTTGGAATGTTAAAAAGCAACAAAAAAAATGATACTGGAACTCATAATCTGTACAGGTAGTCCTAGATCTCCAACCATTCCTTTAGTGACTGTTTGAAGTTACAACAGCACTGGACAAATGTGGTTACACCTGGCCCTTGGAGTTCTGACCATCCCAGCATCCTTGCAGTCATGTGATCACAATCTGGGCATCTGGCAACCAATTCACACTTATAAGCAATTGCTGCACTCCATAAACACATGATTGCTATTTGCAATCTTCCCTGCCATCCTCCTGAGAAAGTTAATTGGGAAGCTGGTAGGGAAGGTTGCAAATCTCCCCTCCCACACACTCTGCTCTAGCCATCTCTGTGTTCATACCATACTCTTCTGTGCCCTCCCTGATTCACACTGCTCCCTCATACACCCTAGCCAATCCACTCTTGATCAGTCTTCCTGACTCACTTTTATAAATAACTCAAAGCAGTGAACATATTTCTCCTTCCTCCTTTTTTCCATACAACAATCCTGTGAGGCGGGTTGAAGAGTGACTGGCCCAAAGTCGCTCAGTCAGCCTACAGTTTCCTAGTATTTAGCCCAGCACCTTAACCACTATACCAAACTGACTGTCTACTGCCGCTTTCTCTATTGATTCTGCTAATCACAAACCAGTTGCAAAGCACCCAAATGGTGATCATGTGACTGCAGGATGCTGCAAGAGTCATAAATGCCTGCCAGTTGCAAAGTATCAATCATGTGACCTCAGGGGTGTTGCATGAGTTGTCAATTCAAAGATTGGCTGTAAAATTACTTTTTCATTGGCATCATAACTTTGAACAGTCACTACACAAGGTGGTTAATAAGTGAGGTCTACATGTACAACAACATTGTAAAAAATACAGCATAAATGATACTTTCACTTCACCATCTTTTTTTCTCATCACATTAATTGAGAATATTGTTCCTAAAAAGCTTCAGGAAGCCTTCAACATCCTATTCAAAACTTATAAATAGTTCAAACATACATAGAAATCTGCCATTAAAATAAAATTTGGAATTGACAAGCAGTCTCAGTGAAGAAGACTTGAAAACTTAATTCAGTGATCAAGTACAATATTAAAGGGAAGTCACCCAATATAAGAAGCTAAGAGGCATGCTCTGGTAGCTAGAGAGATGATCAGTCAATAACAGTTATTGATAAGTAAGCATTTTAAAGAAGAAGAAAAAGCTTTGAGACACGATCCCACCTTGCATGTCACTAAATAGTAGTCAGGGTTATTTCTAGCCAAGCTTGGCTAGATATGAACCATTGATAAAGTGAAATAAACCTGATGCATTCCATCAGTATGGACCTTCATTTAGTAAGCCAGAATGATTTTATTTCTTTCTATGTTAGTTGTATATAGTTTTTAGAACTGCTACTTAGCTACTTAAGAAATCAAAATAAGAAGACTAAGCTGTAGGTATCACCACTACATAGTAGGCACCAACTTAAATGGCTTTAAAAGTTATTCGATAAACAGTGGATTATAAATGCCTTAATGGTTACATTAGAGCTCCATATATTTCCTGTAATATGGGAAGCAGTATAATACATAATCACTGTGTGAGGATACTGATGCACTCATGACCTTTTGTTAAATTTCACCATTTTGTGGGGGGAGCACTATGTAAATGGAATAGTGGATCAGATTTTTGGTTTAATCTATGCCAACAACACACTTTGTATTTTTATGCTGGAAAGAATTTGAAACATTATCTCTTTAGGAGAACATTCCATAAAATGAATGTCAGAGAAGGCTGACAGCTGCTATTTTCATGTGGTAGTAATTATAAAATGGAATCCTTTGTTCATTAAAAGTTTTCATTGTCTTGCAATTAAAAATCTTATCAGTTGGTAAATCACTTTGTACTAAAACCAACCATCATGTGAATAATGCACTTCACTCAACTCTCAGGAACATATTAATGTTTGTATTTTTCCTGTCCCTATTCATTAACTAAGATAGCCCTGGACCAGATCAGATTATAGATCTAGTTTGATGTAGTGGTTAAGTGCTGACTAGAAACCAGGAGACTAGGAGTTCTAGTCCCACTCTAGACATGAAAGCTCATGATATGAATTTGATTGATTCACTTCATGTGAAAAGAGCTGCACACTATCTTTTAAGGCCCCTCTGGCCTTTAATTCCACCAATTGTCTATACTACAGTGAAAAACCTAATCAGAATCAAGGATGCTACATGATATGTTTATTTAAAATATTTTTATATATTGACTTGCTAGAAAAATGAGGTATGGTGGCTCAGTGGCTTAATGACACTGGACATGGTCTCTGCTCTGGTGGTTCAAGTCCTAGCACTGCATGGTGAGATGAGCTCCCATCACTCGTCTCAGCCTCTGCCCACCTAGCAGTTCGAAAGCATGTTCTATGCAAATAGATAAATAGGTACCACTTTGGTGGGAAGATGAGCCGGCACTTCCTGCAGCAATTAAAATCCTGCTGGCACTGAACCTTCCAGGTTGTGACACCCATTTGGATGGTGCTGCAAGAAAAGCCACTTGTCTTTCTTTCTGGTGCGTAGCTAGCTCAACCTCCTGTGGTGCACCTAGGGAAGCGCACAAGTGTGTACCTAACAGAGCTGGTAAACAGGCAGCCAAACTACTACTCTGCCTTAGTATTGTAAAAGTGCCATATGCTAAATAAATAAATAACCAGAAAAATAATTAGAAATGCTCTGCACTGGTTAGGCTTTACACATATAGATCCTGCTGTATTATTGAGCCCCTGAAAGTGGTGGAAGCAAGGAGATAAGAGACCTTCTGGCTTTTCCTCTGTTTTTGTCCTATTGGAAAATCCTTGTTTATCTGTTCTTTGTGTCTGTCTGTCTCTTTTAGAATGGCAAACTTAAAAATAGAACTTTCTAAGTTAAAAAGTGAAGCTTGGCCTGGGGCACTGGAAATTGAGAAGGAAAAATTGATGCTGATAAATGAAAAGGAAGAACTTCTGAAAGAGCTTCAATTTGTCACCTCATGTAAACGCACGCAAGATGAATTGAAGCATTTAGAAGCAGAAAGGAAGAGACTGGAAGAGGAGCTATCAATGAAAAGCACACCTAGTGATGAACTTACAGAGAGGTATAGAAAAAATCCTTTCCCTCTATCATTTATTTATTCCTTCATCTTAACCTTTATCTTGCTGGAGAGCCTGAGTTGTGCCCTAATGGGCCATTTTCTTTCGTGGCTGTTCTATGTATATTTTAATTAAATTTAAAATTAGTCTAGTGGGCAGTAATACAGAAAGACCTTCACACTGTGACAGAATTCACAGAGTTCATATTATTTCAAGCTCTCTGTTGTTCTTCATTTGCAACCAGGGTGAAAATAGCAAGTCCTGATGTTAAATAGCTGAAGGAAGTCAGCAGAGTGCAATATATCATTGGCAAGTTTTGGGATAATAGCTGAGACCTTATGAACTTCTTACTGCAAATGTTATTCTCATTGCTTCTGCACTGGAGCCACTTATAGTTGATAGAGATGTTTTTCCACACATGTGCAAAGGAGTTAACTAAATTCAGAAGGGGTGTCCTATGGCAACTGGACTCTATTCATTTATATAAGGTCCACACCGAGATGATTCAGCCTTCTAGAATACAGTATATATTTTTTTAAAAAGAATGGATTGGAAAACCATAGAATGTTAAGAATTGCAGATTTAGTTTATGATAATTAAGAGCATGCTTATAAAAACTTAAGTACTGTATATAAATGTTTAACTTTTGATAAATGGCGCCTTCTTTGCACACTGATTATGTTCTTATAGGATACACCAAGGATTTTTGCATTCTGTCTGTAAATGCAGCTACAGTAGTGGCCAAAATTGTGGAAACCTTTTGGGAAAAGTCTATTTTTGAGGTTTGATGGCTAATGACACCACTTTCGTTTTGGAGTACTACCATAAAATTATATATCAATGGAAAGATAATTTAATCAAGAATGTAATGCAACATAGTTTGTTCGATTATCTGTACTATATTCTATGAAACATTATAGCCAAATAACCAGAAAAAGGAAGCATAACTTGCTTAGGTTGATATCAGGTAGCTTTCCTTCATCTGATTGTAGCCAGTGAGCATGGGTGTTTAGAGAGCCAATCAGGTGTCATCTTGTTTTGGCAATGAGCCAATCAGATCACAGTAGGATTCAGTTATTGATGTAATGTATTGAAGCTGAGAGAAGGACATTTGTCAGTGTGTTATGTGATCACTATCAAGTTGATTGGGGTTTTTTTTCTTTCATTTAGTGAACTTGTAAAACATAATAAAATTAAAGGAATGGTGCAAAGAGTTGACTGGTTGCCCAGAAAGCGATGTAAAATAGTATTATTAAGTGAAAAAGGCTACAGTTATAAAGAAATTAGAAGAAAAACTAGTGGAAACTTAAGCAAAGGTGGCATTTCTACTGTACACTTTTCCCAAAAGGTTTCCACAATTTTGGCCACCTGTATTTCCTTCTATTCTCTGTTAGTGAAGAAAAGACAAGGAGAGGTTAATGTGAACTTTGTATAGTTGCTGTGCATTAATAAGATAGATATTTTAAACCATGATTTAAACACATTTCTGGCTTGTTTGGACACAATAAATGTAATCCTGGGCTTGGATGTTATACCAAGCTGTCTAGTTTGTTTGCCCACTTATGTAAAGGTTAATAAGCAGCATGCAACTTGATCTCCTTCACTTCTTGGTATGTTAAGACATGATTCTTGGCTTATTATATTGTGTGAGTTATGTGAGTTAAAGCTGACAATAGTAATTATAATTAAAGTAAATAATTATAACTTAAAATTGTCATGAATTTTTAAAAACTGTGGTGAAATATACTGGTGTAGGCATCCATGGCTGGTATCCGTTAGTACGGTAGTATTGAGCTTCTGACAACTGTGGCTGGAGTCTTCAGAGGCAAGGTGGTCTGCTAACAAATCAGGTAATTCTGCCTCTGAATGAGGATCTATAGCAGACTAGACATTCGTGAAAGAGAAGTGACCAGGCAGTGAATTTCTTTTCATCAGACAAGGAAAGAAAGTGAGATCTCCCACTTGCACTCTGGACAGTTGTTATAGGAACTGGGGTTTTTGCGGTGAACTCCTGAATTGAGCAGCTGGGAGCTGAGGCATTTCAGTCAAGCTCAGAGCACTAATGCATCTCTTAAGGATACAAGGTTAGCAGAAGCCTCATTTTCTTAAATAGTTTCACTTGTAATCGTTTTACAGCTAACAAGAGATTTTCTAAGCAGTAGGCTAAGAAAAATTCACTTGTTGAGACAACTTTTTTTCTGGATTAAAAGGAAAAACTGGGTTTCAAAGATTTAAAATTTTTGACAAAAAGCTTAACAAGGATTGGATGTAAGAAAGTTTAAAATGAAAAAAGAGGTTAGTAATTTTTGATTATTATAAAAAAGGATTACTTTTTGATGAAAATGTTTTTGAACAAATTGGAATTAAAACATACAAACAGACCAGACCTTTATGGAAATGTTTTTTGTTTACTATTAAAGAGTACAAACAATTGATGGATCTTAGTAAACAGAAGATGAAGGTAATTTGATCCAGAGGCCAATGCTGATTATAACCATGGAATGCCATTTGAGAGGAGAATATTAAGAGCTGAGGAAGAAAAAAAAAAGGAAACTCACCTTTCTTTTGCAATAAGTCTTTTGCCAAGGGGGGGTTGATTAAGAGAGAACAGTGCACCACTCACTTTTGGTTCTGTCTGAATCTTCTGCTTGTTTCAGCTTTACTTATCTTTCAGCTAATGAGATTCAAAGCAGTTAGTGCATGAACATTTTCATTAGTGGAACAACTGGTTTCATGTAGTTTGCGCATAAATCGAAGCAACCATGCTTGGTCTGAATATGAATTGAAAGTGGGTAAGAGCTAGAAGAAGCTGATGCTTTTGATGCCACTGATAATAAGGAAAGGAATGAAAGATGAACTTAGGGAGGTTCCAACCCTTCACATTGCCCCATGTACTGTTTTTGTATAGCACAGTCCCTCTTACTTCATCACATAACCACAGGTTGCAATGGTTGAAGGGAAACAGACAAAGAAAGATACAGGAAAAGGATCAGGAAGTAGATGGGTTGGTGTGATGCATTCGAGGACATTGTATTAACAGCACTGCTGTGAGATAAAGGAGGGACAGAAAGGAAGGCAATGGGCTAGTGGAATATGCCACAGTGAGAATTTCTGAGACCATCAAGGAACAAATTGTATAAAACAAACAGCACTAGCTCCATGTATCCTTCTTTCTGAAGGGGTGATATATTTTAACATTGCCGACTCACCATGAAATATTTCTGGAATCTTCAGGGTTTTTTTTTTTTTTTACTGAATCTAGGAACAACAAAATTGTTCCAGACTTTTATTTTGTCCAGCCTGCAGCTGATCCAGAAAAAATTGATAGAACCTCCAGATTACAATTTGTTTCTTTAATTTTCAAAATAAGACACATCTTCTGCTTCATACACATTCCATCTTTAGCTCTTAGCAGATTAGCCTTGACCAAATGCAACTATTGAGGAAAGATTGTGTATCTAACTAGGAGCAGATGGAATAAAAAGAGTAGAGTAGAATAGAACAGAGTAGAGTAGAGTAGAAGAGTTGGAAGGGATCTTGAAGGTCTTCTAGTCCAACCCTCTGCTTAGGCAGGAAACTCTATACCATTTCAGACAAATGGTTGTCCAATCTCTTCTTAAAAACTTCCAGTGTTGGAACATTCACAACTTCTGGAGGCAAGCTGTTCCACTGATTAATTGTTCTAACTGTCAAGAAAATTCTTCTTAGTTCTAGGTTGCTTCTCTCCTTGATTAGTTTCCATCCATTGCTTCTTGTCCCGCTCTCAGGTGCTTTGGAGAATAGCTTGACTTCCTCTTCTTTGTGCAAACACTGCGATATTGGAATACTGCTATCATGTCACCCCTAGTTCTTCTTTTCATTAAAATATACATATCCAATTCCAGCAACCGTTCTTTATATGTTTTAGCGTCCAGTCCCCTGATCATTTTTGTTGTTCTTCTCTACACTCTTTTTAGAGTCTCAGCATCTTTTTTACATCGTGGTGACCAAAACTGGATGCAGTATTCCAAGTGTGGCCTTACCAAGGCATTATAAAGTGTTATTAACACTTCACGTGATCTTGATTCTATCCCTCTGTTAATGCAGCCTAAAACTGTGTTGGCTTTTTTGGCAGCTGCAGCACACTGCTGGCTCACATTTAAGTGATTGTCCACTAGGACTCTAAGATCCCTCTCAAAGTTATACTGTTGAGCAAGGTACCACCTATGCTATACCTGTGTGTTTGGTTTTTCTTGCCTAAATGTAGAACCTTACTTTTTTCACCATTGAATTTCATTTTGTTAGTGCCCAGTGTTCAAGTCTGTCAAGATCCTACTATATCTTAAGCCTATCTTCTGGAGTATTGGCTATTCCTGCCAGCTTGGTGTCATTTGCAAATTTGATGAGTTCCCCATCTATCCCCTCATCCAAATCATTGATGAAGATGTTGAAGAGTACTGGATCTAAAACAGAGGCTTGGGGTACCCACTGCATTCTTTCCTCTATGTAGATGCAGTTCCATTGAGGACTACATGTTGAATGCTGTTGGTCAGCCAGTTACGAATCTATCTGGTGGTGATGCTGTCTAACCCACATTTTTCTATCTTATCTAGTAGTAGGTTGTGGTCTACTTTATCAAATGCCTTAACTTTCAGTTTGCCATATATATACAGTTGGGATTATTTTATTTATTGAGTACCTTTAAAACTAAAATGAGAGCCAGTTTGGTATAGTGATTAGGGTACCAGGCTAGAAACCATGAAACCATGAGTTCTAGTCTCATTTAAGGCATAACGTCATCTGAGTGACTTTGTGCTAGTTACTTTCTCTCAGCCATGAGAAAAAGGAAACAGAAAACTACTTCTGAAATTTTGCAACAAAACTGCAGGGACATGTCCAGGCAGTCACCAGGAATCAACACTGAGTTGAAGGCACCCCCCAAAAATGCAAAAAACCAAGAAAATATTTATTTGGTTTAGATTTTTTTCTGCAACAAAATGGTAACAATCTGGTTGTGTGTGTGTGTGTGTGTGTGTATGTGTGTAAAATCATTAGAAAAAATGAACAAATATTAAAGTTAGCACAGTTAAATATTTTAACAAAAGTGTCACAAATGATTTGTGGGAGGTAAGAATGCCAAAGACTAAACAAATGAAGAGTCTCTTGAAAAAGGAACATATTTCTTCCCAACTCTTATATGCGCATAACGCATATAGAACTTGATTACTTTAAATCCATTGATGTGGATTTTTCACTCAATGGCTAATAATTAAATATAGTTCCTTTTTTTCTTTTTTTGAAAAGCTAATATTTGAAAAAAAAGAACAATTGAAACTAAGTGTTAGCTTAGGATTCTTATGCTTGTTCTCATATATAAATATAAATTATATTTATATTTACATATAAATATAATTACAGAGATTTTTTGCCTAAAATACAAGCATAATAGATGTAGGATACCTTCAAATGATTCTTAGCTAATGGACTGCACAGTCCAACATTGACTAAATAGAATATTCTGCACCTATAACTTGTATTTCATCAGTTAATTCTTAGCAGTCTGAGAATTATTATGTCATTACCTATTAGCCAGGGCTAAGATATTTCCAGAATCATTTCATGGCCAGAATCTGAGAAAGAGAACAAAATGAAAATATTTTGAAAGATTTTCAGACACCCCCCCAAAAATAGGGAATATGTATTGGCCATTAACTAACACTAATCAATTAAACATTATATTAATGGTATATACAAATGTACTTTGGTACCATAATTCTTCAGTTGCCCTGAAAATTTCCATTTGACTTTTGGTTTGGATGAACTTCAATAAGTTGCCCTCAACTATTTGTCATTATGCTTTTAGAGCAAGGTTCTCTTTGCAATGTATATGCATTTATATATTGACACATAAGCTTTTTTATCTTCTAGGTTGAAATTAGAAGATAGAAAAAATAAATTGGTTAAAAAACTTGAAGAAACTAGTCAATTAACCACCCATTTACATTCCCAGCTTAAAAGGTGAGATAATTTTCTTTACACTAAATTTTTGACAAATGATAATAACAGTTCGTCCAAAACTACCGTTGGCATACTGTATTTCTGAATTATCTGTTTTGATTTAGGTGAAATATTAACTTGGAAGTGTGTCTTGTAAAGATGTCTTCATACTAAAAGCTTGGTTATCTATTGTCTAAGTCCTGAACTGCAAACTTTTTGTCCAGCAAATAACATACATGACTGATCTGTGGTAGCCCTTTCCCTATATTATTCAGGCTACATTCATGGGAAATAATGAAATAAATATGTTGGCTGTTTCTACTATGAACAGCAATCTGTTTTGCACATGGAAACATTGAAATGAAAGGTCATAAAATGAGGCAAAATTAACAATTATCGGCTTAGCAACAGACATTTTGGGCTCAATTGTGGTCATAAATCGAGGACTACCTAAACTATTTAGGCAAAAATGAAAGATATAAATGATGAATATAAGTAAACTGCATCTTAATTCAAATGCTCATTTTCTCAACACATTTCTGCACAAATGCAAATGACAATCACTAAGGAATAGCTTCTATTAACGTTCTTTTTATTGATTTCATAGCAGTGGCGTAGCGTGGGTTGTCAGCACCCGGGGCAAGGCAAGTAATTTGCGCCCCCCCCTCCACAGTGGGCGGCGACCCGGCGGCTCGGATCAGATTCGCACAGCCAGCACTGCAGAGAGAGTGAGTGAGCCAGGCAGGGGCAGAGAGCTGCGAGTGCGAGCGCGCCCCCCCAGATGTTGCGCCCGGTGCGGCCGGGCCCCCCCTGCACCCCCCACGCTACGCCTCTGTTTCATAGTACTGTCTTTCTTTAAGGGCAGCACTGCACTAATGTGAATCCATTTATTGAGAGAGCATTTACTGTTATTAATAACCAGTGAAGAAAGCAGTATTTCCTTAAACTCAGAAATGTCCACGTTATATGAAAATCCTTTTGTTTTCCTTTCTCTTTGGGTATATTGTATTATTTGTTTGTGTACTTTACCCACCATCAGAGTAGAAAATACCAGAATGGGAAAAATGGGGTATCTCAAACAGTGATCTGAAACTGATCTAATAGTCCAATAAATTTAGATAGGTATTGTACATTGCTAAATACAAAACTACTTTCTTATTCTAATTGTACTTTCTAATGTGTCCTCGTGAAACTGTTACAGTGATCAGCAATATTTTAAAGTGGTAGAGATTGTCACACAGTTTTGTGCAGTATTACACACAAATTAATATATTTAAAAATCAGGGATTTTTTTTAAAAAAAGAATTATAAATAAAGTGACTGATTTTTTTGGCCATGTTTGCTTATATGTTTTTTAAAAGGAGCCATCTAAGGAAGTCGTGTTGCTGCTATAGTTAATACGCTGTCATCTGAAATTTCTTTTTGGTAGTATTCAGACATTTTTAAATGTGTTCCTTTTAAAAGATACCATTATACTTGTCAATTTCATGACCAACAGGGATTAAATTTTAAGTTTTACATGTGATTTGAGATCATCTGATTATACTGCTGATAGAAGAGAATGACAGATCTTTGCTTCTTTGTTGCAGCCTCTCTGCCAGTACATTATCTGTGTCTTCAGGGAGCAGCTTGGGATCTTTAGCATCTAGTCGAGGGTCCTTGAATACATCTAGTAGGGGGTCGCTGAATTCTCTTAACTCTACAGACCTCTACTACAACCAAGGTGATCAACCTGTAGATTTAGACTATCAATATAAATTGGACTTCGTATTACAAGAGAAATGTGGTTATATTCCTTCTGGCCCTATTACCACCATTCATGAAAATGAAGTGGTCAGCTCCCATGAGAAAATGGGATATAGTGACTCTTCCAGTTCTTTGACAGCAAGTCATGCACCCAAAATAACTGAGCCTCCTAAATCTGTCACATCATTCTCTTCAAGATCTTCCCTTTCATCATTATCTCCTCCTGAATCACCTTTGGTTTTAGAAGGTGGCTTTTCAGTCCCTCCTCAAGATTCTCCATTACATCATTTCACCACGGACTTTGAGGACTGCAATTTACCCAGTGACTTTACAGGCATTACTACCTGTGAGAATCAAATTTTGCTGGATTCTGAAACTAGAATATCTTCTCAATCAGTTAATGATAAATATCGCAATGAAAGTATTTCACAGAGCATATCACATTCAAGAAATACAGGTAAATATGTTGAAGGATCGAACTTATATGTCTTACTATTCAAACTCAGCCAATTCTCTCTCTCTGGGTTGAACTGAGTTTCTGAACCTTAGCAGCCAATATGTCCTCAGAAAATTGTGCATTTTTTCCTGATAAGGTGATAGGTCACTGTCAACAAATAAAATCACTAACAGCTCAGCACATCACTTCTATATGAAACTTTAAGAAGTAGGACTAGATAAGAAAGATCCAGGGAGATTAAGCTTGAGGAACTATTATAAAATGGGTGGAAGTCTAAAAACTGTGGTGAAACAGCAAACAAACAAAAAAACAGGTGATAAATGTACTAGAAGGGATATCACAGCAATTGGAAGATATAATAGAGGTACTGAGACAGAGACACTAGATAACTTTATATCAGGAAGATGTTCACAAAACCAGTGAGCTGTCATGAGCAGAATAGAATCCCTTGAGGGCCTGTGCTGTTGATAATATCTTCAGTATTCTGTAGTTTCAAACAGCTCATTTAACAGCACATGTAGGGAGGTTTGTGCCCCAAATCTGTATAAAGATCTGATCTTAAGTTGTACATCATTTTCCCCACATTTTCTACAATCTGTTTCTGCCTATTAATTACTGAAGTTAAAATAATCAGGTATCTGTGCAGGTTTAGTAGTCCTTCCCTGCTGTAGTGAAATTTCGAGAAAAAGACAAATTTTTCCAGTCTGGCAGCCTATTCAGATATCTGCTGATCTATTTCCAAAAGGGAATTAAAAATAAGGAAGACATCTTAAAAGACAAATAATACTTTTATTATAGCTTGATTTTTCTTAATTACTGTTTACTTTGTTAAATGAATACAATATGCTAACAGATGAGTACATACTATCCATAGTTTCAAGGATTGACCGAAATAATAAAGGTGGGGGAGGGGGGATGAATTGGCATGCTGCAGAGAAAGTTATGAGTATATATTGAAAGCAATCATTTAAAAAAAAAGTATGGATGTGACATAGTCATTCTAGAAATCTTATTAATTCATTAGTATGGTAAGTATTATTTAGTGGATTAACAAAACCAATATTTTTAATTTAAACCTAACTATTTTAATGATATTCTTAGTAATTCTGCTGAAGTAATTCTACTGAAAAATACCCACATTTAAGGCAGTCACACAGTATTCCTTCATTTTCCTGGGTAATTGTTTTATCACACAGTATGTATGCATTTCAGCCTTACAGTTTTGTGACTGACCAAGGAGTTTCCATTTTTGACTGCATTTCCCTTCTCTCTGACTCTATTTTTTACTTCTAGCCATGGTTATTTGTTTTTGTGAATTATTTGTATGCTGCTTCTTAAAGTAATTCTAAACAGTCTGCACAGTATATCAAAAACCACCATAAAATCCAAGTATTACAAATCTTTTTTAAAATCTTCAAAAATCTGATGTAGTTCAAATTTAATCCCCCCCCATTCCTGTGGGTTGTATGTATTTCTTCCTCATATTAATATATTTGATGATGTTCTACAACAAATTATGTTGTAATAAATACATGCTGCAAAATTCTTTGTTGTTTTTACAGTAGTTTAACAGACAGTTCTTTGAATGATGTAATGATGCCTAGTGTACAATGAATCACACAAGGTGATGTCTCAAATTTGGGAGCAGCTGGCTGTTCAGAACTTAAGTAAACTGCATGAATTTGTTCTGAGCAAATTTGGATTTGTTGGCATCAAAAACTATATTTTTGCAAGATAAAAATAATTTGTCCTTTAAATGTAAAGAGATATGATCCCCCCACCCAATCTTGTACCAAAAGGGTATAGAAAGAAAGAGAAGAGTAGTTGTTGTATCTCAAAGGAAGTCATTGTGAATGAACTTCTCCTATTGGCCTATTTCAAATCAGGAAGGAGGGGTAGCCAGAGAGGCTGCTGCAGGGATGGAAATAGGAAACAGGAAGAAGACCAATAACAGCCATTTTTCACACTGTAAAATATGTCCAAAAGTGAACATATTTTAAGTATAAACCATTCTGGAAATGTCATAATATAGAACCTTCTTAGAATGTGTTTGTTATACTTATGGTTGAGATTAATATTTTAGTTTTCTTTTTGCCCTCCTACATTTTGGTGTATAACATTATGAAATCTATTCAGAAATATTCTAAACAATGCTTGTTGTTAGTTACGAAGTCATGTCCGACCCATCGCGACCCCATGGACAACGTTCCTCCAGGCCTTCCTGTCCTCTACCATCTTCTGGAGTCCATTTAAGCTCACGCCTACTGCTTCAGTGACTCCCTCCAGCTACCTCATTCTCTGTCGTCCTCTTCTTCTATTGCCCTCAATCTTTCCCAGCATTAGGCTCTTCTCCAGTGAGTCCTTCCTTCTCATTAGGTGGCCAAAGTACTTGAGTTTCAACTTCAGGATCTGGCCTTCTAAAGAGCAGTCAGGGTTGATCTCCCCTAGGACTGACCGGTTTGATAGTCCTACAGTCCAGGGGACTCGCAGGAGTCTTCTCCAGCACCATAGTTCAAAGGCCTCAATTCTTTTGCGCTCAGCGTTTCTTATGGTCCAACTTTCACAGCCATACATTGCAACTGGGAAAACCATGGCCTTGACTTCATGCAGATATTCTAGGGAACCAGAAAACACACGTTGTGGGCAATCTTGTACAATATATTTAATAGTTTACATATCAGCACCACAATCACATCCCCACTGATACAGGACAGAGGCACTTCCAGTATCACACCTAATTCTGTTCAATTTCGACCAAAGTGAGGCAGGTCAAAATCAGTGGTTTGGTAGAGGGTTCACTAATGGTCAGGCCACAAGAAGGTACCTTGGGCCATTCCTTGCTGGCCTACGGGATTTCAATCTGGTGACGGGCTGTGCATTGACCTGGTGAATAGGGAGGGCTTTGTTGTTCAGCATCCTTAACCATAGCAGAATGAGAGCTTGTTTTCTTCTAATATGAGACAGTATGATATTTCTAAGTACTGGTAACCAGTGCCTAAGTGTGGGATGCAATGTGCCAGAGATGATACGCATTGTTGGACATTGGCCATTTGGGTATGGGCACTGTAAAACTATACACTGGCACAATATTCCACAATATGTGGAATAAACCAAAGCCACCTTTGTAAGGTGTTATCATCAGCACCCCAGGATGTTCTAGTGAGTCTGTTCAATAAATTGTTGTGGCTTTTCAATTTTGCAGCTGTTTTTTTCAGGTATTGTTAGAAGATTAATGATCTCTCCAGTGTTACCCCCAGTACATTATAAAATACGGTTCTGGAACCTCATTGGTAATTTGCATACCTATTGCTGAGATGGATTGTAGCTATTTCTGTTTTTGTTAGGCTTGGTTGGAGACACCATTTTTGAAAGTAGTCATCCAGCTTCTGGAGATCTTGGGAGACACTGAAGTTGGTTCTTAGGGCTGTGAGATTGATATCATCAGCACAGATAAATTTCTGAGAAGTTTCAGGCAGGTCATGGATGTACAAGATAAAAAGAGCAGGGGATCATTGATCCTTGTGGTAGTCCATTATTCAACTTATGATATCTGCTTCTATTGAATTCTGTCAAAAATTGAAATAACCTGTTACTCAACATACTGTCAATCAAGGCAATGGTGTTACGACACCTTAATTAGTTTGAAGAGAAGACCTACTCTCCAGATAGTATCATAGAATGCCAAGAGATCAAGAAAAACAGAAACATTTTTCATTTTCCTTTGAAATCCATTCTCCAGGTAGGAAGTTAATGCAAGGACCTGATTGCTACAATCATGTTTGGGGCAAAATCCAGCTTGTTCTACTTGGATTACAGATTTTTCTGCTAGGGCTATTCTGTAACACAAGTTTCTCTAAAGGTTTGTAGGTGACACAGAGAAGAGAATTGGCATGTAACTTTGGGAGCAAAAGCTGATGCATCCGTAGCTTTCCTTCAGCTACACATTTCCTGGATGGTGCTAAATGGGTGTTGTTGTTGTTAGTTGCAAAGTTGTGTCCGACCCATCGCGACCCCATGGACAATGTTCCTCCAGGCCTTCTTGTCCTCTACCATCTTTTGGAGTCCATTTAAGTTCACGCCTACTGCTTCAGTGACTCCATCCAGCCACTTCATTCTCTGTCGTCCCCTTCTTTTATTGCCCTCAATCTTTCCCAGTATTAGGCTCTTATCCAGTGAGTCTTTCTTTCTCATTAGGTGGCCAAAGTACTTGAGTTTCAACTGCAGGATCTGGCCTTCTAAAGAGCAGTCAGGGTTGATCTCCTCTAGGACTGACCAGTTTGATTGCCTTGCCAGTCCAGGGGACTTGCAGGAGTCCTCTCCAGCATCATAGTTCAAAGGCCTCAATTCTTTTGCACTCAGCGTTTCTTATGGTCCAACTTTCACAGCCATACATTGCAACTGGGAAAACCATGGCCTTGACTATACGTACTTTTGTTGGCAGGGTGATGTTTCTGCTTTTTAGTAT